TCCACAACCAAAGATAACTGTACCAGTGCAGCTGGCAATTCTATCACCTCTTCCCAGGTCCCACTGTAACTCCTACCTGAGCTCTCCACCCACCTCAAACCTCCCTACCTCCACCTTCCCCCACCTGTAAAAGATGACCTCATCTCTCATATTACTAAGAAAACCTCGTCCCACTCCATCCTTCTTTGCACAGGTTCCTCTCCAAGTTCTCCTTCTCCTCAGGTTCCCGTTATGAAAAGAACAAAAAGGCTCTTCATAATGTGACCTCAGCCCCCACTATGCAACCTCAGCTCCACTGTCCACCAACCTAAGCCCATATGCCAGTCAACAAGACTATCCACCAACCACCGGCCATGCCTTGTGCTTTCCAGAGCCTGCTCACCCACCTCATCAGTCAGTAGTCCCTTCCTCTGACCTCCACCTCCTCCAGGCTCACCCTTCTTTGAGAGCCTTGGGTCAGACGCTGCCTGCTTCAAGAGCCTCCCTCTACCCAAATATAACCTCTCTCTCCTGCAAAATGGCCAGGTATTACAAATGAGGAGTGTACCTCCTGGTGACCCCACATTATGGGGGCCAGGAAGAGTTCTCACTCCTTCTTGGCTAAACCCACAGCTTCCTCAACTGTGTCTTTTTCACTAAATACCAGCTGCTTGGACAACAGAGAGAAGGAATGGAAGAATGAAGAAAAGATGTTGAACCACAGAATTGCAAACTGTGAGAGCCTGAAGGAGGCATAAGGATGGGTTGTGGGGGGTCAATGTGAAGAACACTGCCAGGCCCTCCAGCACAGAGCCAAGAGCTCCTGGGATCTAGACTGGTCAACAGCCTCTCGGCTGAGGCCTAGGTATGACCCATTCCAGGTGCAGAGGTATCAGTTCAGTCTCCTTCCACAGCATGGACCAGGCCCAGAAGCAGAAGGAATCTGAGGCTCATCCACCTGTTAGGGCTCCCCTCAGCAAGGCAGGGCCATGTCTTCAACATCCCTCCCAGACTCTCAAGCTCAGGTGCCATCTGCTGGTCAAGGTCAGCACTGCACCTGGGCCCGTAGTCCCAAGAGCAATCACAGGACCAAGACTGAGAAAATCCCTTACCAACTCCAGACCCAGATCAATTTGGGGGCAGTAGAAATTACCTAACCTCCTAGAGTTTGAGTTTCTGTTTGCTTCCTGGAGCCTGTCTTTCAGAATTAAGGCCTAACATTCAAAATAAAAAGGAAAAAATAGGTTTCTTTCCGGTAATACTAGCTGAGAAACTTCCAAGACATAGTCATACAGATACACAGAAAAATGATTTCCTAAAGGATTTCTGACAAACAGAAGCTCTGTTAATAGGGGACAAAGAACTTGCCTGGGAATTAGAAGATCTGAGGTCCCATCCGTCGTTCACATGCCCCTCCCTCAGCTTTGTGGCCCCCGGCCCCATCCCAGCCTAAGTCACATTCCTGCCTAAGCCAACCCCTATGCCAGGACAGTGTCCCATCACTTGCTCTCATCTCTACACATGGCACTGGCTGATGTATGGGGTTTTGGACTGACCCAGAACTAAATGCATAGGATCCAGAAACGCCGCAGCCCTGCTCTCATCTGCCACCCCCATGCTAGGGACACCCCCCAGGGCCAGCTCCATCTGCCTGGAACAGGAACTGGCCTGAGGACACCAGTGGCCCTCCAAGGCCTCTTCTGATGGGAGGGGGCCCCAGGAGGCAGAGATGCAATCAGCCAGCACAGGCTGGGACACACCAGTCTGGAGCTCTCTCTAGCCACTCTTTCCTCTTTTCAGGCTGAGATTTAGGGGCAGTTATGTAGTCTTTGAGCTCCAGGTAACCTCAGAGCCCATCCAAGGACTCAGGTTAAGAAAGCAGATAGTGGTGCATGACAGACTTGGCTTCCCTTAACCACACTCCTGAAACCAGGCACAAAACAGAGCCTTCCACTGAGGGTCCCAGTGCAGGTGTGGAGCCCAGAATTAGTGGGGCACACTCAACCATCCTCCTGCAGGGAGAGCTGCTCCCTGCAAAGTGTCACAGGAGGGGCTGGAGGAGGAGAGAAGTGCAAAGTGAGTGACTTTCCCCCGCCCTCACACCCCCACACCCACCTACCCTGTTCCCACACAGCCCCTTTCCCCTCCCTCCACCCACAGACTGAGAAAGTATGTCACCGGGGAACAAATGCCATCTTCCCAGGAGGGCGGAGGAGGAGGAATGGGGGAGGGAAGACTTTGACTGTGTGCCCTGGGGGCCGGGGTAAGAAACCAGAGGTTTCTGAGCTTCCCAGCTGTGAGGGACACCCCCTCAGAACCATGACTTTGATATTCACCTCCCTTTCTCAGAGGGCTGAAGACAACCTGTGGGGCTGGACCCAGAGGCTCATGTGCAGGACTACTTGGACTACTTGGCCAGGGGGGCCTAGAGAAGATGCCCGAAGATACAAACAAAATCTTTTATCCAAAACATCCTTTGGCCAGTTAAATGGGCCTGCCACAACTGCGGACACTCCAAAGTTCTCACCTTGCTCCTCCCTGGCCTAGAGGGAGCCACTGACCTGCTCTTGCCTTCCCTCTCTAACTCTGCACAGACAAGTCAGCCTCCAAGGGTTAACGTGCTGCCTTCCCTCCCTTTCATCCGCCCCCACTGAGCTGCCACATGCCAGCAATGATGCACTTCACACTGTTATTACAGTGATTTATTTAGTTTTAATTTGGGGGTGAATCTCGTGCTGTAGGAAGCAGGAGGCCAATAGTCTTGGCAAGAAGCAAAGCCACACACAGGCCCATACCATGCCAACGCCCTCCCCTCTGCCTGGGGTCCATCCATCCTAGCCCAGCTCCTGCCAGCCTGTGGCCTGCTCCTGACTCCAGTCCTGAATCAGGTTTACCCTTCCCTCCATCTCCTCCACTTTGAAGTAGATGATCCTCAGTAAGAAAGGAGCCGACAGAGGTTTCCATGCTCACCTCCTTTGTGATCCAGGCTCCCCAGAGCAGTTAATGAAGCCCCCTCCGGACCAGGCTACCACTGAGGAGTGGGACATCTTTGGCTGGACACCTGATACCAGTTCTACATTAAGGGATTGATAGCCTGGGCCACCTCCATGCAGATCAGTGAAAATGGGCAATGGGTCTTTAGGAAACCTCTGCCCTAGTTTCCACTTGCCCTTAGTGGGCAAGGAAGCCAAAGCCATCACTCATTCCTCCACTGGTTCATTAAACAAACACTGGCACCTGCTATATACCAGCTACTATTCTGGTGCTGTACAAACAAGGCAAAAGAGTCATCACAGTCTTCATTCCTAATGACTTTACCTGCAGCAAAACCACCTAGACACTACTAAGCAAGCCACAGAATGCAAGAGTGAAGGGAACAAGGTTGTGCAGAGGGTCACAGAAGACTTCACCGAAGAGCGGCAATTTGGCTGGGATGCCAGCACAGTGCCTGGCATTTGGTAGATGGATGGATAGATGGGTGAGTGGCCTAGAAACACAGGTTATTACTGGCAGGAACAGAATGGGGTAAAGATGTTCCAGGCAGACAGAAGACCATGGCACAGGCCCTGGAACTAAGGGTACACAGCAAATCCGATGTAAGTGGCTCAGTGTGACCAGAGCATAGGGAAATACCAACAATAACAGTAGCTAGCATTTGCTGAGCATTTGCTCCAGGTTATTACTGCACTAAGCACTTTATATTCATTCCCTCTTCTAATCCTCACAGTAACCCAATGAGGTGAGTACTATGTCCCTTTTTGCAGATTAGGAAAGTGAGGAGCCAAAAGGAGAAATAATCTGTGCAAGGTCCAAGCTTCTGGCTCCAGAGCTCTAACTCCACTGCCACTCCTATGTTATGGAACAAACAGTCAGGGTGAAAGGGAATGGGGTGGCCCTTGAAAGCCCTGCTGAGGATTTTATTTTAGGGAAACTTGGGAGACATCAAAAGTTGTAAACTAATCTCAGGAAAGGCATCAGTTGATCAAGGCTTAACGTGAAGATAATTTGGCTCAGAAAAACTCTAGAAAACCCAAAGGATTCTCTTTCAAAGAGGAAAATTTCCAATACACAGATAGGTGAGGTGGAGAGGAAGTTTTTTCAGTAGAGATCTCTGAGGTACCCTCAAATTACAGCACACAATTTGTCAGGCTGGGCCTGACCCACAGATCGGCAGCCTGCAGACAGCCACTCACAGCCCTCTCAATCCCCAGAAGCATGACGACCAAACAGGCAATGAGGACCCACACCACTGTGCCCGGGCTGGGTTCCACATACCCTACAGAGCACTGGCATGAGTCCAAAGGGGTAAGACAGAAGGGCCCTTCGCCTCCTCTGTTGCCCCAGGAGGTAGAATGAAGATCAGACAGGTGAGGTTTGAGGTAGGTTTTAGCCCATAGGAGGAAGCACTTACATTTAGAGAATACTGGCAGAAGGGACCACTTAGGGCAGCAGATAAAAAAATAAGCTTCCTATCACTGGAGATAATCAAGAAGAGGCTGGATGAATGCCTGCCAGGGACATCCCAGAAAAGCCAATGCAATGAATGATTTGGACAGCTTACCGATGGCGTCAAACAGCAGTGCACAGAATCACTTCCTGAAGTGCCCTTGCATACTCTATCACCAAAGCCTCCACCCATCATCTGCAAAATGGGTTAATAACAGTACCTCCCTCACGCTTGCCAGGAGGCTTAAGTGGGATAATGTATGGAATACAGCATTGCTGTCAGCAGGAAGTCAACCCTCAGTAATTGATAAATATTATTAGGGTGAACCATATGAATCATATGAGGTTACAGATCAAAAGGTCAAGTATCAACTATTTCACATGGTCCAACTAGTATTATTTTACTGATGGCCAATGAGGTTCCTTCCAGCCTCTTTGATTTCAGTACTGAAAGTTGCCGTGAAGTATGGCCCTGAGCCAGCAGTGGGTTCCCAACACCTGGCAGCAAGAACTCTGCCAGAGCCTTTGCCGAAGCAGGCCATCCAGGGCTCATCCCGCCCCACACAGGCAGCTACCTCTTTGCCCAGGTCCTCGCGGATGACCTGGCGGACCTCTTGCATGCTGCTCTGCGGGGCCTGGCTGTGCAGCACCTTCAGCGTGCTGGTGTACTCCTCGGGCAGCAGGTAGTCCAGAGCCCCCAGATGCTGGCCCACCTTGATGAAAGTGCCCCGGTTGGCACAGCAGAGCTCACAGAGGCGCCTGGCAGAACGCAGGTGCACCTATGGAGAGAAGGCCAGGGCCAGAGAGGTGTGAGTGCATACTAGCCATTGGACATTGTTCCCTTTTCTTGCTGCCTCTGCTTAACAGCCCAGTTTCACACATACACATACACACACACACACACACACACACATTCATTCACCTTCTCCCTCAGTGTTCTCCTTTGGTCTAGGTGCCCAGAAGAGTCAATCACACCCTTACACCAAGGCCAGCCTTCTCCCATGGCCTGATGCTTCTGGCCATCAAAACTTACACATACACATACACACACACACACACACACACATTCATTCACCTTCTCCCTCAGTGTTCTCCTTTGGTCTAGGTGCCCAGAAGAGTCAATCACACCCTTACACCAAGGCCAGCCTTCTCCCATGGCCTGATGCTTCTGGCCATCAAAACTTACCTGGCCCAGGTCCCACTCCCTCAGCAGCAAGTATTTGTTGCCAAATCTAATCTACTAATGATTCATTCAAGGGTACTCTGAGTTAGCATATTCGCCACCCAACCCTCAGACCTACTAAGAATACTATTTGTTTGGAGGTCTACGATTTATAAAACCTGGTCACATACATTATTTCTTTTGATCCTTACAGCCACTTAGGGAGGAAGGTATTGCTATCTTTAAAGATAAGAAACTCAGGTGTTTTGCTTATAAAGAAATAGCTAATAAATCAAGGGAAGGTCTAGAAAGCCCTCCAAACCTAGAGCTCTTTTAACTTAGCCAACTTTAGCTGGGGTCTCCTATTAACTGGAGGAAACATTTTACTCAGAGGTATAGGGAGCATGGAGTAGGCAGCTGTCCAGGGCAGGGCGGGCTTAACTTGCAGCCTGATGCCTACTGTCCTTCCAGAGCTGGGAGGTGGCCCCATTTGCCCCAAGGCTGTGCATCCTCAGTCTTCACCCCAACTCAGCTGAGAGGACCTTGGAACTATGAGGGTCCTGCCTTCTAGGAGCTATAGCTTCTGAGGCAGGATGGGGGCTTGGGCACACACAGGAGACAAGGGAGCCCAGGGCCCTCTCCCACCTGTGAAGTCAACCAAGTCAGTGTGAACATCTGTGGTGGACTTACACTCTCTTAAGTGCTATGAAAAATGCTGACATGATTGAGTATATATCAGAGGCAATAAACCAACTGAAGAGTTAAATAACGGTTGCCAACAAAGATGGAAGAAATGTTCAAAGATCCTATATAATTAGTTGCCAAGTGAACCGTACAGAAAGCTGCTGCTTTAGAAATTAAGAAGAGAAGGCAGCAGCCCTGAACACCCTCTTCCCAGCAGCCAGAGGCCCATCTTCCCCCTCCCACCGCAGCAGGGCAGACACCCGACCCCAGGCACTAGCAGGCTGTCCTGATGCCCCCGAGGACCACCTACTTCTGACTCTGCCTTCCACCCTTCTGTACTCTTGGGAAACCCTGTGTACACAAACATGACTCCATCTTTCTGGGCAGAGTCCTCCAACCTGGATGTGGATACAAGGTTCAAGCTGGGCCTAGGAGAGTTCCTCTCTGAAGGAGGGTGCAGGGAGAAGATTAACTCTAAGAATTAAGAGAGAGAGCACAGCCCAAGGTGGTGAAGTTGAATCCAGTGTATACAGTTTAAAAGGCCAATGGAACCTGTAGCTGGTCTTGAATATAACAAGAAAAGGTCATAAAATATAAAGATTAATAGCATTGCCTTTGGAATCAAAAAGACCTGGGTTCAAATGTTACTTGCTACTTAACTGTCATAAAACATTGGGCAACTTGATTAACTTTGGAGCCTGAGATTCCTCTTCAGTAAAAGGAGGAAAAAAGTGATAACTGTCAGTGATGAACAAATGGAGCAATGCACAAAAACAGAGCTCAGCACAGGGCCAGTACATGGTCAGTGCTCAACAAAGGGAATGTAAAGAAAAGGGGGTGAGGTGGGATCGATCTTCCTAGGAAAAAAAACCAAAACACTCCTGGACCATCCACTTCCTATACTTAGTTTTGGCCAAAAAATCTGGACCACAATCTGACAGAAAGAATTTCATGATCCATCATCTAAATTGCAAAGCATCATGTATAAGAAATGCAAATAACCATAGAGTATTTGGTCTAAATACACCGACTTTGGGTTCTCTTCCAAGAGATCTCCCTGATTCTGCAACCACCCTAACACCAACCACCCATTTGCTCACTGGCCCTGAGTCCTGCCCTTACCCAGCACCTGGTTTCATTGGCTGGCTGGATATGTCACTGCAGCCTGGCCTCAATGAAAAACCCCGACTTCCCCATTTCATTAATGCCAAAATATGTCAGGAACAGTTGGTGCAGTCTCCCTGTCCCTCCTCCAACTTCATTATCACTCCCAGCTCAGTAACTTGCCTTATGATTACCTCATTACCAATAACCTTGCTGTAATGAGTTTTAATCTGCCTCATATTAATTAAAAGCATTGTCAATAGCCAGCTTGGGTTGGGGCTTGGGAGGGGGAGCAGTGAATAGCTAATAAGATCAACTCCATGCTGATTAATTATTGATTGGGAGGGTTGGAGCAAAGGCCCAACGAGGGCAACTCTTTACTCATGTCTAAATCCTCAAGCAGAAAGTTACCACAGTCAGACCCAATCAACAGGGCTCTCCCAGCTGGACAATATCACCAATGGAGTTTAGGGTTGTGTGTAAGGCATAGAGGAAGGAGACAGTCAGTCAGACACACATACATACCCCACAAAACACAGGAAGAGAGAGAAAGTGAAAGTGAAAGTCACAGATCCCAGAACAGAAAAAGATGTTTGATTAATTTTTGTGGTCAAAAACTCAAGACCCAGTGCCCTATTACATGCATTGACATGTAAACAGTGGTATCTCTCTGTGCTGCAACATTACAAGAGTATTTTTATAGGTTTTTCTGTAATTTTCATATTTCTTAAAACTAATATATAGCAATAATGGGGGAGAATTTTTAAAAATAATCCCTTCTTCAACATCTTCTGGAAATGAAAAAGTCCGGCTCATTTTTTTCAGCTTTAAATGTTCAAGACTCAGCAAAGAAAGACAAGTATCAAATGGTTCCATTCATCTGTGGAGTATAAGAACAAAGCAAAAACTGAAGGAACAAAACAGCAGCAGACTCACAGAACCCAAGAATGGACTAACAGTTACCAAAGGGAAAGGGACAGGGGAGGATGGGTGGGAAGGAAAAGATAAGGGGGAAAAGGGGCATTATGATTAGCACAAATAATGTAGGGTTGGGGCATGGGGAAGGCAGTATAGCACAGGGAAGACAAGCAGTGATTCTATAGCATCTTACTATGCTGATGGACAGTGACTATAATGGAGTATGTGGTGGGGATTTGATAATGGGGGGAATCTAGTAACTACAATGTTACTCATGTAAGTGTATATTAATAATACCAAAACAAAAAAATAATAAATAAATGTACAAGACTCTGCCATGCAGACTGGACCAGCTTAAGTGCAGAAAACAGCATCTCTTCCCTAATTCAGCAGAGGACTATGATTCACATGAGTGTTTTTCATTATGAAAAGGGAACTGCAACTCCTCCCTAATTCCCAAGGAATCAGGCCAGGACTGCCTCTAAAGTCCCTTTGCTTAAAGCTGTCATTTAGGCAACACAGTAAAACTCATCACATCTTGGAATAAAACAAGTTGCAGTTTATTAGTTTTTAAGGAGCTTGATCACAAACTGAATCCCATTCCTTAGGAGTACCCTCTGTCTCTCTTGACCACATGTGGGATAGACTGGTTCAGAGCACAGGGCCACCATCAGACTGCCACCAGCTTCACCATTCAAAAGCTGGGCGAATTACATGACCTTTGTCTAATTGAGTCTGCTCATCTATAAAATGAGTAAGATAATAGTACCCACCTCTAAGGCTGGTGTGAAGATTAAATGAGATGAGGTAATATATATACTCAACTTAGCCAGAGAGGCCATCTATGTCTATACTCACTATAAGAGTACCTAGGATTTATTTTAATCAGTTATAGTAAGACACACAGACTTGGAAATAACTATTACAAAGGAAGGAGTTTGTATTCACAGTTCCCTAGAAGCAGAAAAGTTGGCACGCCATGAAGGACCACACAGGGAAACACCAGAGTTGGCCAGAAAACAAAAGAAATGAGGGGAAAGTGTGGGCAAGAGCTCTTACTGTGGATTCTATAGGAAAGAATGGGTGAGGCAAGGTAAGCAGCCCTAGGAATAAGTAGTTTAAATAACTTCAGTGGGCTTTAAGGCATAGGGATGTCCCTAGCTGTCTGGTATCTGGCCCTGTAGGGATTAGGGCAGCTGATAGCAGCAGTGATAGTGGCCCAGGGTATAAAAGTTCAATAAAAAAGGTGGTTGGTGAGTAAACGCTCTGGATGGGTTGGTTTGCATATGAAAGGCATGCTCAAAGGTGAGTGGTTTCCTATCTCTAGCAATTAGTTAACCCTGGGAAAGGCAGTCCTTCCACTGTCAGAAGGCCCCAAGCTGTCAAAGCATAAGAAAATACAGAAAATGAAAAAACATGATCAATACAGTAGTACTCTAGGTATACTCCCGTGGGGATCACACCCACTACACTGGTTATATAAACCATCTACACACTGATGACACACACATGGGTATCCCCTGCCCAGGCCTCTCCCCTGACTCCAGACTCATAGACCCAACTGCCTCCCTGACATCACTCCAATGTCCAATGAACTCCCCAAACCTGGCATGACTTTTCCCCCACTCCACCACCAAACCTACTCCTCCCAGTCTTCCCCATCTTAGGAAACTGAAACTCTAAACTTGGGGTTGCTGAAGCCAAAGATTTTGATGTAATTCTTGACATCTCTTCCAAAGCAGGGACCAAAATTACCTTTCCCATGTGAAGCAATGGTTTTTAAGGCATTGAACATCAGGCAACAAGGGCGAGTGGCTCCTGAGAGATGGGACACAAAGTAGGTGAATCCTCTGACTGCCCCAGTTCACTGCATTGAGAGTTTCCAGGACACAGTGCAGGGAAGGGGAACCC